CCTGTCTTGAAAGTTCAAGTGCCAAGAAACTGCTTAGAACCATGCAATTATGTATGCTTTTTAAAACTTTACTCTTATTTTCAATTTAATTCTTATAACTAAGGTGAACCTTACATGAAGTCCAGTATATCAATTCACGGAGATGGTATAAATAATTTTTATTAGTGTGAATTGACTACCAAATTTGATAACAACTTACATCTTTTGGTAATAGAAAATAATATAATTCCTTATACATATCTACATAATTAATTTATAAAATACATAATATCATAATAAAAATAAATGAATTTAATGAGGAATCTTTAAGGTATTTTAAATTAACATTACATTATTTTGTACATAATTGCATTAATGCACTGTATATGATAAAGAAATTTGGGAATTAACCAAAAGTACATAGTAAAGAGCATACATACAAAACAGAAGCTATACAAGTGCAAGCAATATCAGTATGTAAGTGGTACACAAATACACTCACCTTATTATCACTAGCGTAGTATCACAGATGCTCATGAATAATGTGGCTTTTCAGTTTTATTTTATTTATTTGTGCAGACATTATTACATCCTGGGTAGCTCCACTGTAAGAAGTAGAAGCTGACTCTGGTAATTGTTCATTTTGTGAAGTACATTATATACAGTACAGGAACAGTCACCATAATCTGTCACCATTTTCAGTTTTTTTTTGCTAGCTTCTTCATAGTTTTCAAATTATTTGAAAAATCTGCAGAACAAACATTCTTATGTGCTTTTAATTGATATAAAAACTGAATATTTATGGTTATCATAAAGATGCATGGATAAAAAATTTTATAAGTAAAACAAATATCAAAAATATATTTTCACATATAAGTATGAAAATTACCTGCTTATATGTCTATACTTTTATATTATCACAGAAGCAGTTTTATCTTTATAACTGAATCTAAATTTCTGAATTATTTACTTACACTCTAATTACATTTTAATCATAATATCTATGCCATGCTTCTCATCTTTTGATAATCTTTCTTTGTCAGTTTGTATAATAAAAATAAATACTATTATATGCCATTGATGATCTACCACTAGTTTTTATAACATAAACAAAACAAAAGGTAAAACAATGTGTCTATTATGTACTGGTAAACTTTTTCTCAACTTAACAAGTATCCTTTTTACCAAAGTTTAAAACATGAATTTTCAGTAATAGGTAGACAAACAATGATTTATAAGCATAAGGAAACGTTTTATTAATGGAATTGGGGTGGAGAGAAACTGATGTTTGTGACTACCCCTTTGGGGCTTGAGAGAGTTTAAACTCAAATAACTACCAAGCTTTTCGGTATTTGGTTTGGTTATTGATGGTGGAACATACTACATGTTTTGATAGAACGTTAGTATGTTTTCTACATACCTAAACAAGACAGACCAATGTTCTGTTGAAACGTAATATGTTCCACCATCAAAAAAACTTTTCCTTATGCATATAAATCATTGTTTGCTTACCTGTTATTATATTAGAATAATGTGCTTCTTTACTCATTTCCAATATTCACAAACCTCATTGAAACAATAAATTTCATAATTCTGTAATGTGTTTTAAATGTTACTGATCAAATTGAGCATTATTGAATGTTGCCTACCAATAGCCATTTCCAGTTGCAATTTTAGCATGTTTACCGTTTCCCTTAAATCTGAATTTTCTTTTCTTAAATGCTTGTTTTGCATTTTCAAATTTTCCTCTTCATCACCCTCAATAGATTGTTCTTCATTTAACTTTTCAAACAGCTCTCTAGCCAAAAGTGTACAAGTCATTTTTTTCCTTTAATGTTCTGAGAAAACAGGTGATTAAATTATCAAATACATTGTATCATAATAATAATTGAATTAATGGGGAATATTTTAAAGTATTTTAAACTTATGTTATATTGTACATATACCATCAGAGTCAAATATTTAAATCGCTTACAGTGCTTAGAGCAAAATAATGTAAATATATCAGGATAATAATCAGAGAGACTTGACATTTTAAAATATAATGACAAACCAAAAGAATTAAAGTTCAAGAAAGTGATCATTTAGCAGAAATAAATATAAAATGATAATAATTGGCTTATTTTAAAAAGGTAATTGTAATCTAAAATAGGATTAAAATACCTTATATTTTTTTCACTTTGAATCAGTGAACTCTTCCTCTGAATCAGGTAAATATACAGGATCTTTTTTTTTCTGCACCACAAACGTTGCCCACACCCTTTGCTATTTGAACAAGGGAAATATCCTTTCAACACTTCTTCCATCAACGGCAGAAGTTCATCTCTTGTGTCTACAAGAATAACTTACATAACTTTAAGGAAAAAATGTTAAATCGATGTAACAGAAGTTAGTAATCATAGTTGTAGATATTGGAACATCAATTTTCAGATATGTATCTGTATTTTTTAAATAAAAATTTAATGGAATGTTGAATATATAATTTAATATATTTATGCATCCAATTTTTTTAGCTTAACTTTTTAAGTAAGAGAAATATTAATGAAATAATCTAGAACCTAGAAATGACCTAAACAATGGTCGGTATTAATGAACCCACACTAGTCAAATTAAGATTCATTTAAAAATATTTTTGCTAACCTGAAATGGCCAATACTTTAACAGGATAGGTTATAATCATATTACTAACTTTTGACATTTTCTTATTCCTGCTCCTGCCAGCCCACTTTATCATTATAGTTTCACCAATATTAATATTTTTCTGGTCATTTTCAGTATCTTTAATGAGATAACTTCTACAAATTTCTAATAAATTTTCTTCAAAAAATTGAAATAATAAGAATTTACAAGTTATTTCTTTAAAGTTAAATTAAAAATTGTGCCAAAAATGTTACAATCAAAGCAACAAAAATGATGCAACTATACTGTTGACATATCTGCACTTTGACTCTTTGAATAATACTTTTGTTTACTAACCAGACTACTTAAGTCAGTATGATAAATTTATCTATATATTACTAAAACTATGAGATTGTTTGTTTGCTTATTTTCTCAGTCAAAAAACAATCACACTACTTTACAAAATTTTTTACTTCACTTTTTTGAAAAATGAAATGGTCCTACCTTTTACTCCCAATCATCAATCAAATATCTTTTCTTGAATTATTAATAACACGAATGGATTGAAACATTTAATTAAATTATCTCAAAATAAACCTTCATTTTGGTGCAATATTGAAATTAGCTTGAATTCTTGATAACCTCTGAATACCGGTTGACCCAATGGGTCACTTTTATGAAAATTATTAGCATGAGTAAGTTTACATCACACTACCGTTTGCGTTCTTTACGAAACTTCTTTGTTCAAATCTATTTCCCTGTCAATGTTCCCATCTTCATTAAAAGGTGTAAGATGACAAAAACAATCTCTTGAAGAATTTCTCAATAATGTGCCTTGGTTATGGTAGGTAATTCAAAGAAAAATAAAGTGTTACTGTTTCTTATTTGTAGAATGTTTAAGAGGAAAGACAACAACATAATGAACTAATTCATCACAATACATGAAAACTCTGAATTCACTTTTTGAAAAATGAAATGGTTTTTCCTTTTACTCCCAATCAAAATTAAAAATATTTTCTTGAATTATGAATAACACAAATGGATTGAAATATTTAATTAAATTATCTCAAAATAAACCTTCATTTTGGTGCAATATTGAAATTAGCTTGAATTCTTCATAATCTCTGAATAGTGGGTGACCCAACGGGTCATGAGTAGTCTAGTTTTGAATAACTTCAGGTGAAAAATAACACTGTAATTTTATTAGCTGATCATTTTCAGAAGATTGTATCCACCAATCCAGGTTTGTTTAAACGTTATAGTGTCTTAACTAGTAATTGTTAAAAGGCTATAGAAACTTAGTCATAAATTTTGTTGTAGTAATGTAATGTACATCCCCTATCAATTAAACATTTTTGTTAACACAAAATTATTCTCTCTTATTATTCATTAAGTCTTTTGGAGTTAAGAACATTGTTTTAAGCACTGAAATGTCTTCTAAAATACTTTTTATATTGAAATTGTGTGAGTTGAAACATTACTTCATGGTTAAGTATATTTCTAGCCAATCATACAAAACTATTATTTCAAATATGCATAAGTATGAAAAATAATTAACAAATGTGTTACATTTTAGCAAACTAGAGATGATTTTGATGTCAGTAAGCCATATACAAACTATGCATTATGAAATTTATTTTTCATGCTATTAGTTTACAATTACATTGTTTTGCTTAGTGATTTTTGAGCAGTTACATATCATGCTAATGTGAGTCTGACTATTTTCAATGGAACAGTCACACCCATATTTACAGCAAGATTAGCAAAGTTTGCACTTGGCCATTATCTATCTCATAAAGAACATGCCCTTAGATAATTAATGTCATCTTGAAATAGTTGTGGTTTTCTATCTTGCCCACTTTTTACCAATGCCAGTTTCATATATCCTTTTAAGAGCCTTACATACAACTTCTACTGAAACATGGAGTTTTGTTGCAATTTTTACATCAAATATCCCTGACTATGTAAAAATTATGATTTCTACATGCTTGTCATGCAGAATTTCAGTCCTGGTTGCCATTAGCTGGAATTATGTGCTACTACTACTGGGCATAGTATGAAATGAGTTTTGAGTGTGGCATTTTCTGGTTAACTGGAAGACTACCAGTTACATTGTAAGTTATAACATGACCATAATTTGATGTTGTTCATTTTCACACAGTAAATGGGTAGCATTCCTATAACAATTGCCTTTTATGCTCTTTTTCCTCACCATTTCCATAATAAATTCTAATAGTATATACATGCATATATATGAAATATATATTTTTAAATCTAAGTACATTATGTTTGAACAGCATCCCTGTGTCTTCAATGATTCTAAACTTCAGTCAGAACAACCAAGAAAAACATTAATTATATAGGAGAGCGAACTTAACATTTTTCCATTTTTTTGTCAGTTTTATTATCCAAAAAATGGAAGTTGTTCCTGAAAATCGACTAGAAGGAATGACCAAGTACAATCAAATCCTAGAGACTAAAGATCCAGGCCCTTGTGGTGGGTTTTCAACACAGTATGCTTATATGTGCAATTATCATGGGCTTCCATATCGTGAAGAAGTTGCATGGGTAGGTCCTCCATTTGTAACTATTTTTCTTATGTTTGGAGAGTCAATTTTAGGAACTCTGAAATTTTTTTTTATTAATTAAAAATGAAAGTATATTAAAACATTGTGTATATGACTCGTATGAACTTTAAACTGTAGTTTAAAGTGTTGTTAATATTATTTCTACCCCATTTTTTAATCTCAAAGTGTATTTAGTGAAGAACAATATAAAGAAATAAAAGCTTTCAATCAGCACTGTAAAGAAATTACAAAAAGTGTTTGTAATGAATTATGAATTATTTATGGCACCAAAAACAAACAAACAAAAAACAGAATTTTAACAGTATAATGGGCTGATTAGTAAGTATGACAAGACCTGCTTCAAATATTATTTGTTTAAATACCAGGATATGCAGGTGTGAGCTCACAAGCTACCAATTCTTTGAAGTTTATGAAAAGAACAAAGAATCAAGCAGAGACTTTTTATCACAAAATGTATACTTTTATTAAACACCCAACTACAACACATAATGCCACTTTGCTTCATTAGATTACTTTTGGAAAGTCTTTCTAAAATCTTCAATAAGAGCTCTTTTATTTTGACCAAGAAATCAATTAAAATCCTTTATCTAGACTTAGTTGACATATCTGTATGAACATTACCAGATATGGTATCATATGGCAATACAGACTTGCATGGAGATAGGATAGTTCAAGCTTTTCATCCTAGTTTCCTTAATCTTATGAGGCTGGATTGGCTCACTCACAACAGTTCTCTGGATCTTCGTGAGTAACTCTCTTTTGGCAGCTAGCTGGCTTCTAATGTTATTTTTACTCCAGCTTTTATAAGGCTGAAACAGGGTGTTGTAAGATTCAAAAACTAGAACTAAAACACATAATTTCTACCTTCTATACTACTATTGTGCACACTATATGAATCAGTGTATAGCTGTTTTGTACACAGCCAAATGTAGGTTGAGAGATTCTTAATGCCCGCTGTTAATTTCTGGGAAAGGCCCACCTAATTTCTGAACCCACATATTCTTTCTAGCAGGATGTCTGTCTTTAGAGCTCTGTTTTTTTCATTCTTTTGCTTATTTTGTTACTAATGGTCTTTTTTCTGGGTATGTGATGCAATTACTCATATACTTTCTGATATTTATGTTATTTTTTTTATGAACATTCTGTGAGTTTTGCAGATTCATGGTTTTTGGTGTTAAGATGAACCACTGGGTGTTTTTCAAAAATTTCTGATTGGAAGTCTAGCCTTTGAATAAACACTTGTTGCTAGAGTACATTCCACTGATGCTTGATTTTGTTTTGAGGTCAACTAGGGCTTTACTCTACTTCGATGGTTCTAAATACAACGTAATGTACTGCCTGTAATTTTTTGTTTTTTTTAAATAATGTGCAGTTCAGAAGTTATCCAACATTAAACATCTTTTCTACAAAACGTTTGCCCTATATAGACTTGCTTTATCCCTTTCCTCTATGGAATTTAGATGTTCCACTTGAAATTTTTTCTAACAAGCCTCCATTTACCTGCCTTAATATTGACATGTAGTAGCATTCACATTGCCTTATTAACTAATCTTATTCTTTAATTATTATTGTTTTACTAAATTACTCCAAAAATATTATCATTATGATTGGTTACCATATAACTTGGTTAGATAAAATATACTGCCTTATCCTATAACATATTCATAATTCCAATGTGGTATTTTCAAAACACTTGAAAGTTTATATAGCATTCCATCTATAACACAAGATTCTTATCATAGTTGCTATTTCTATAACACCACTACCATAACACGCAAATACATGCATATGTATATTTCCATACAATTAATTTGGTTTCTACACATGCTATGTAACCTGTTTCTAACATTCTCCACCACACAAATATTTCATTGATGGTACATGCAACATGTTCATTTGACACAGGGTATTCACATTCCACTTGTGGTACTGTCATTTGTATTTAGGTGGAGCAACCTCATTTTTTGACATTTGTACATATCTTGTTTGCCCCCAGTGGCACAGCGGTATGTCTGTGGACTTACAACGCTAGAATCCGGGTTTCAATACCCGTGGTGGGCAGAGCACAGATAGCCCATTGTGTAGCTTTGTGCTTAATTACAAGCAAACATATCTTGTAAATTCTTCTTAGAGACTTCACCTTGTCCATTCCTTTCATTTATGGGCCAGACTTTCTTAAGTGTCCATTTTATAACTAGAAAATGTTAAAAAATAAATCTTCTCCTATAAGTATGATTTATACAGTTCTTGAAATATAAGTACTGAAAAACATTTTGCCAAAAATCTATCACTCGGGCTACATTCTGTCATATTTTTCAACCTTGATGAAGATGACTACTGTTTTTCACATGTGTTCTCCTTTACCAGATTATATTGTACCTAGAATAAAAAAGTAAACAAGCTGTAAGAAGGTTTTCTCTTTTGCTGCCCTTTTTCTGTGCTATATTTCAGCTGTAGACTTTATTTACTATCTGTTCTAAAAATATAAATATGAAATCCATCACCAAAATGTATTTCACCTCTGTTTATTATCAAAGACAGGTGTTGAAATTTACATTTCTGCTGTAAATCCAGTTAAAGCAGTCTAATATGAATAGTTATTTTGTATTAGACTACTTCCACAGATCATAAACATAAGCTATTATTATAATGTGGCATTATACTAAGAAGTGCAAAGCATATATAAGGAGTTGAATTAAAATAGTGATTTCCTTTACCCATTCTGTGAACTCCTTTACTTGCATCTCACCATGTCCCCAATTATATGTTTTTATAAATAGACCTCTAAGTATTGCTCACCGATTTAGCTTTGTAATTTATCAATCATTTAAACTTAAAATTACCACCACTCACACTATTTGAATGTTTGTCATACAGTTAAGGAAATACACACCTGTTATGTAATCCCACTTTCAAGGACTTTTCATGCAGGAGAATGAGTTGACTTGTGACTAATACATTTCATATACACCCTACCCTAATCATCTGCACATGGTGGAAACTAAGTATAGTGGGAAAAGCATTATGCACTCTATATATTCTCCTCTGAGGCAAAACTGAAGTACAGGAGAACATGTAAAGGAGTTCATGCAATTTCGTGTCCAGTGATTTTTATTGAAGAATGCAATTTACCCTTACCCTTTCAGTTACTGATAGCAACAAATGTCTTAGCTGTTATGTATAACGACATAAAATGACATAATTTGAGTATTACACCAGGTGTATGTGTAAAGGAGATCACCTGCTTAAAACAACTAATTTTATTACAAGCTCCAAATGGACATACCCAAAATATCTCTTGATACCCTGTGTTTGGGGTATGATTAAATCTAATTATATACTTTCTGGATTGATTTTAGACTCTAATCTTTTAATTTACTCAAAAATTTGTAATTATTGTCTTGAAAATAAACCACCGTAAAGGAGAACATCTTATTATGGTGACATGTTATTTTGAATATTTCTATATGTGAAAAATTAATGGGATAATCAGGTAATAACAAATTTTCAAAACATAAATGTTTACTAATTAATAATAATAAATGAGTCATACTTACAATTTTTGTGTTTGTGTTTCTGCTTTGAAATTCAATTTTTCTGCTGGCGACATTCTACTTTTAACTTAACACAAACTCAACATATTATATATATTTGGAAAACTCTGTCTATTGTCTATAATTTAAAAATTATTATATGTTTGTTTAAGGTATATACTCAGAGAAATTTGCCCCCAAACACTAGCAACATCAAATTGGACACTTAAGAAAGATTGGCCTTTATGTCTTAGTATTTTGTTGATTAAGTTCCTTACACACTTTAACAATATCCATGTAATCATATTCCCATTGTCCCGTTCCAAATTATGTAGAAACACAGTAGTTTACTCTGCCTGTCAACAATCTTCAATACTATATATATATAACACTCAGGCACCTTTCTGGGTAGGAGACATAAAGAGAGAAAATTCATCCCATGATGAACTACAGGATGTAGTTGTTACTTCCTTTGTGATGTATCCATATACAATGTGAAAGTCTACTTCCCAGTGGCACTCCTTTCTTTGGAAAATTGTGGATCATATATACTGTAAATCACTACATAAATAATGTTTTAACTAATTACATATTTCAATACCACTTGCTCATTGTCTTCACTTGTCTTCTGTTCAATTTTTGCTTTGCCTTTATGTGTTTTCATGTTCTGTATCATTCCACAAGTCGCTCTTCCATGTAGATATTTCCTTTTGTTGATATCAAACTTTCAAATTCACACCCATGATTCATATCACAGTTATTGAGTCAGGTAACACATCATCAGTTTGTTGTTTTCTTTGCAACTCACTTTAACTTTTCCTTACCTTACTTCCTGTCAATTAATCTGTACCTAATCAAATTTTCTTCACAATTTTGGAACTCACCAATTATTTATAATTTGTTACCATCAAGATTTTCACTAGAGGGTTTTGTCTCTCTTCTACTTTATTTCCTAGTTCTAGATTTGTCTCTTTAGGTCATTTAGTTCAACTACTTCAGTTACTGCAGAATATGTGAGACTCTTATTATCTTTCTTAGCATTCTCTTTCTCTTTGAATTTAGATAAGCTGTCAAGTTTCAGTAACTTGATTACTGCCAATTTGTTTTGCAATCTATGGTTACTGATATTGTTATTAAGTATTAGTGTTACGAATAGCTCTTCCTGTATTACGGAATGTAATCATTTTGAAATCATTTTTATGTTTAAAATTCATGCTAGCTTTGCAATTAAAGGTTTTCACAAACTAGCTGATTTATTCACATAATCTGGTTAATAACCAAATGTACTGTGAAAACAATAACTTTGAAATTATCTATTTATCTCCCAATAAAATTTAGTTTCCTTTTTCAATAAATACTATACCTTCTTTATTTTCCACTGGTACTATACTTAGTACATCAGTAAAACACTTACTAATAAGTTACAAAATTATATTATTAATATTAC